TTTTTAATGAATGTGAGTCTAAGACCAAATTTTTTAAACTAAAGTCACTCAAAGCTGATAGATTCGGCTGAGATTTTCGATAGCTAAATTAACCTGAAAATCAAAACTCTATAGTATGGTATTATATATATTGCTGAGCAGTAGTGTAGATCCTTCAAGTTCAATACTTTATTTTTTTAGCATTAAGGAAGGATTTCCACTTTCAGAGAAATATTTCATCGTCGAAGTATTTCGCTTGATTTCTTTTAATTGAATTGTCATGTCGAATAAATCAGTTCTATAATCCTATATACTTGACCGCTCACGATTCAAAAGTAGAAACCACGGCTTAACAGATCATGCTAATGAACTGTGGCTGTGCCACATGTTGCTAGAGTATATGCATGGTTATGCTTAATATATGGCTTTATGCGCAATAAAAAAGTCAATTACATTTTATAACCTGAAAGAATACAAGATGTGCAATGTATCACGAGGGGACCGAGGGGTATATTCAGCTCTGCTGTAGGTTGGACTATAGTGCATGGTTCTTTTCAAACTTGTCATGCATGCACTTATCTTCAAGTGTCTTTCAATGCATCTACACCTTGACTTCTTTCAAATTGTATATCAATTAAGGAACCAAGTTGATTTTATACGTAACCTTAGGCAAATCCTGTGATATATATAGAGGAAAATGTACAACGACATTCCATAACTAGTTATTTCAAGCACAAACATATTAGCTTTCTGTAACTCTATCGTGTTGAAATGAATGCTTTGAATAACAACTTTTTGGACACAAAGAAATTAAGTTTTGTGATTTGTTTAATATTCCAAATACATGCAATTATATAAATATAACTCAAGCTTTTTCAGGGTTGGGGCCAAGTTGGGAGTAAACGGCGCAGTCAGGTATAATATCAGCGTTATGTTTTTGCTCGCTAATTTAATGCGAGATTTAATGAATGCATTTAACGATTCCAGCCAATAGACGAAATGTTGATCTACACAAGAAGAACGAAATACATAATTACCATAGCTGGAAAGAGCATCTTAAAATGAGCAAAATTGCAGAGTTTGGTTACGAATTGTTTTAAAATGAGGATCGAAAATATAGCCCTGTGAATTTCGAAAATTTTGTACTATATTTGCATTATACGCGCGGGAAAATAACCATTTTTGAGCCGAAAGTGGTTATTTTTTACCGCGCGTAATACAAATATCACAAAATTGTCGAACTTCACATGCAGGGCTATATTTTCTCCATTTTACAATTACATTTAGCAACCAATCTTTGCAGTTTTACTCATTCTCAAAGACGTTCTTTCTAGCTGTGGTGTTGGATTTCGTTCTTCTTGCCTTGATCCAAATTTAGTCCATATAGCTAAAAATCAGGAAAAACCCCAGAAAATGCCGCCCATCATGCGGTTTTCATGTGTTGTTTTTTCTCATCCAACCATACAGTTCAGAATATTGACCGATTCGAAAACTATAGCCGCGCCATATGGCCATGTAAAAAAATATACAGGTTTATCATCAGTGGCAGCAGAAAAAACCCGTGCGGGAGGGCGGATTTTTAAAAAAATTTTATCGAATCACATTTAGTAGGTGAACGGAAAAAATATGCTCCAACACGCAGCACAGATGTATGGCATAATATTTTCAATGCTATTACATTTTTCATTAATATTACAATTGCCAAGGCCCAAGCGCATGCAATATCATACACGGAGAACAAAGATTATATTGAAACTTTAATATTTTGAGATATTTTTTTATATGTACAAAATGGCCAACCATCGTGAAAATCTCGTGTGGGTTCTTTCGCACGGTTCGCCGGAAATAGTGATTTTTTAAAAATACTGAAAAAAAAATCCATGCGGCACGAAAAATGGATGCGGGCGTTGATGGTAAACCGGGATATTTTTTTATATGGCCTATTGTATTTTTTTTTGCATTACCAGGCTAATAAACAATTTCTCCTTGAACGGAGACTGTTATTTAAAGCAAAGACAAAGTGCGACTGAAAAACATGCAATGTGCGATCAGCACCAAAACGAGGCCAGTCGGGCTTGTTTGCTAAATCTACCGGCAAACTTTGGTATTTTTAACACTTAATTTCTCAAAGAGATTATACATGGTATTGGATTTATATATCTTAAAACTGGTGGTATTGAAGTAACCCCCCGCCATATAAAAACCTAAGAACCTGTTAGACTTTAAAACATTTTATTAATAGATCCCTTTTAAATAAGAACCTGTTTAGGCTAGAATTTTAGAATTTCCAAAGCAGGTTCTTATTTTATCAAATGACAAATAGAGCGAAAACTAAATATATAAAAAATTTATGAATCAAAGAGAATAAGCTCTTCACATAGTAATGAAAATGATCCAAAGCATGGAAATGTCATTCACGCAGATAAATAACATGTCTACATACTCATGATGAACACCACAACAGATAATTGTATTTCTTCAGGCTATGCATTCTACAAGGCGGCAGTAATTACTTTGCTTGAAATTAATTTTGGGAGAAAGAGAATGGCAACCATTTTTGGAATCAGTCTATGTTATTGGTATTTATCTTGTGCGAGAATAAGGGACGGGTCATTATTTATGGTGGGGGGTGGCACCGAAGAGAGATGTTTTTCGTGGAAAAAATTTTGCTGACTCAACCATTAAAAAGTCAAAAATTTGATTACCCATGCAACCTCAAATATCAATTAATTAAAAAATAAATACCCATCCCTGGCCAAAAACTTTACAAAAGGATACCGTTCAGTTGTCACACATGTCCTTTACCACTTCTTTGACATGAGTTTGATAACGGATTGTGAAATTTTCGTCAGTATAAAGTTTTATGTTGTCTGCACATGTACTTTCTTTGCAGACACCATTTGTCTCCCAACAAATTGGAAATTGATCAAGAGAGTGACTCTGATTGATTCACATATGGTATTGACATAATATTATGACTGTTGACATTGCTTTTTAGTCTCCAATATTTCAACGAGTCATGCTTTGGAAATGACAATAAATTTTTATTACCCAAACCTTGAGTTGTTTTTCATTTACCCAACCTTTTACTTACTCAAAATTTAGTTTACCCAACCTTTTTCTCTTCGGTGCTAAAGGCAGGCTGAACCTTCAATTACTGATCCCTAAATGCAGGCTGAACCTTCAACCAATTGTCACGCGGTATTATAGGCATTACTACTTTCTGCTTTTTTTTGCTCTCCCGTCCTTATCCCTTCGTTATCCAACAAAAGATAAGCGTGCACAGAGGATTATTATTGTGCGGATAATATCAAAGAGAAGAAGAAACCGAAAACAGGAAAAAGTATAAGTTGAGAAAATAAGGGGCACATAGTTTTCAAAATATATATATCCGTTGTAAATATCACTATAGTTATGATAAAGCTAAATGCACAGGAAAAAAAATGGTAAAATATACAATATTTATAGGTCACCTTGTTTAATGATTAGGAATAATATCCGGTATGGTAAAAAATTGAGGGTAACATAGGCATATCAGGTTTTTCTTTTGTTTTTTCATCTACTTTCCCAGAATGTCATATGATCTATTTGAAGCTAAGTATGTACGTATCTGAGTGGATGCTCCCAATCAAATAAAACCGATCTTTTCGATCATTTTGTGTGCGTTTGATAGTCAAGTTTTAAGTAAATTAAGACCGATTTATACACTACACAACTTTTGCCTAAAACTGTCGCAAGCAACCTGCTTACAACTGGAGTCGTACTGTGTAACTGAATCAAACACACAATTCGCCTACGTTGTCGTGAGTACTAGTATGTGAGTTGTATGCTTGATTTACACAGTACGACTCAAGTTGTAAGCAGGTTGCATGCGAGAGATTTAGGCAAAAGTTGTGTGGTGCGGCAAATCGGGCTTTTGAATTATAAAGGCATTCCTAGTGTAAAGGCGGATTTTCATTCAGTGGAAAAAGTCGCGAGATCGACTTTTTGCGATCACTTTCTTTTCAAATGCGCGCAGTCAACCTCATCCGTTGCGCTTGATTCCTTGTATTTCAAAAGAAAGTGATCGCAAAAAGTCGATCTCGCGACTTTTTCCACTGAATGGAAATCCATCTTAATTAATACAGGCAGAACTAAATCGACTGCATGTATGCATATATAAGGCTGGTTTTGACTATTAGAATTTTGACTGTGATCACAGTAGGAATTTTGCATAGGTAAATCTACGTCTGTTTGAAGTATTTGTAGGAAATGTTTGAGGAAACTGACCCGGCCAGTGCTTACTACCCAATACTGATACGGGCAATAGAAACCCATTTGTGATTTGATACATGTAAATCAGCCTTGTAAACAGTTCAATTCCATATTACCAAGTTTTACCGTGTCGCATGAGTTAAATATGTTAATAGGCCTGTTTTATACGTCGAATTTTGGTCGCGTCGAATGCAATTAAGGCAATATAGATAATGAGATGATAAACCTCATTAAGCTTCATTATCTACAGTATTGTTTGAATTGCATTCGACGCGACCGAAATTCGACGTATAAAACAGGCCTTAGATATGTCATTTATGAACATGTTAAACAGTGGTGCAGGACTAAGATTACATCCTTGCTTAACTCCAACAGAGGAGTTGAAAAAGGGGTTGTTCCATTTTCTGATCAAACTGGATATAAAATTTAGCTATGCACTTAATTAAATACAACGTCGAAAATGTTTTACTATATACATCCGTATATTAAGATAAGTTTATAAAAATGGCCGGTTGTGTCTTATTTTGGAGCGCGCGATGACCGAGTATACTTCTTTGATTCTTTGTTTATTTTGCAACCTTGACGACAACCTTGGGAAGTATGTGATGAATTGTGTTCGGGATTAGAAAGGGACGTTCGTTATCAGATGAAATTTAAAATCGTGAAATCAGCGGCACTTTAGTTTAATCCGCTTACACTTGTAAACAATAGCACGCCTTAATTTTGATGTCATCAAATATTATCACTTTCTACTTCTCATTTCACAGACACTCCAGTCATCCGCTTCTCACGTGATATTGAATTGTGCACGCACTGCAATGCGCACTCAGAGCACTATATTACGCGCGGGAAAAATAACCATATTTGAGCGGAAAGCGGTTATTTTTACCGCGTGTAATACATATAGAGGATATTACACGGCGGCGCGAAGATATGACTTTTTATATTCGAATGGTGGAAACAAATATTTTACGAACGAGCGCAGCGAGTGAGTAAAATATTGTTTTTAACACGACAAGATAAAAGTCATATCTTCAAGCCAACGTGTAATGTTCTGTTTATTATATAGTCCCAAGCAAAAAATTGTATAAATACTAAAAGTCAGGTGATCGATATCTTCACTTAGTCTAGTGAAGATATGAAAAATATGTCACTGTGTATTTCTCAGCCGTATCTCACTCTCTACTATATAATAAAAACATATACAAAATTTGCCAACTTCACACGAGGGTTATGTTTTCCTCATTTTACAACATTTCGCAAACAAACCTCATTGCAGTTTTACTCATTTTAAGATGCTCTTTCTAGGTGTGGGGGTTGGATTTCGTTCTTCTTGTCTAGATCAAAATTTCGTCCATAGCTGGAATCACCCATTAGATGAGAAATGAAGAATGCATTAAGATAGGGTAAAGTTATTCTCCTCCACAGGCATCTTTATGCGAGTGTCTATATGACTATGCATGGGTTTAGCCTCTACCAGTTTCCCTAAGATATGCCTGTATGCGGAGCGTGGGAGGCTAGAGTATTGGGTGTTTCCAGCTATAGATTAAATTTTTATCAAGGCAAAAAGAACGAAATCCAACACCACGGCTAGAAAAGAGCGTCTTATAGAATGAGTAAAACTGCAAAGATTGCTTGCTAAATGTTGTAAAATGAAGAAAATATAGCCCTGTGAAGTTCGCAAATTTTGTATATACAGGGTATAAAAAAACCCTGAACAGATATGAATTTGCTCTCAATTTTGCAAAACAGCTATTAATATCCAGTTTTTGATGTATATAGCTTCCTTGGGTACTTATAATGCAGAATAATGAAAAAAATTCCTCAAACTCAAATTCTGTGAACCAGGGGGGGGGGGTTGTCTTTTTCAACAAATTAAAAATGGCTTGCGCACGAAATTTAAAAGCTTTAATCATATTTTGAGTTAATAGATGGCAACTCTGTTGGGTTTTTAATTACTGTACAAAATTTCAGACAATTTGCTTTAGTTTAAGCCCTTTAACTATTCATTTTCCCCATAAAAAATCAGCCTTTCGCATGCCTAATTAATGCCTTTACTTAATTTGCATATTGCTGACATATGCAAATTAGGCAAAGGCGTCACAGTTAAGCATGCAAATAGCTGATTTGTAGGAAAAAATGTAAGTTTGCGCGAATAGTTAAAGGGCTTAAACTAAAGCAAATTGTCGGAAATTTTGTACAGTAATTACAAACCCAACAAATTCTTCATCTATTATCTCCCAATATGATTAAAGCTTTTACATTTTGTGCGCAAGTCATTTTTAGTTTGTTGGAAAAGTCACACCCCCCTGGTTCACAAAATTTGAGTTTGAGAAAATTTTTCATTATTCTACATTATAAGTACCCAAGGAAGCTATATACATCAAAAACTGGATACTAATAGCTGTTTTGCGAAATTGAGAGCAATTTCAAATCTGTTCAGTTTTTCAGTTTGATACACCCTGTATTTGCATTACGCGCGGTAAAAATAACCACCTTCAGCTCAAAAATGCTCAAAAATTTTTCACGCGCGTGATACAAATACATACAAAATTTGCGAACTTCGCAGGACTATATTTTCCTCATTTTATAACAACTCGCAACCAATTTGCAATTCTACTCATTTTAAGATGCTTTTTCCATCTATGGTAATGGGATTTCGTTCTTCTTGTCTAGATCAAAATTTCGTCTGTAGCTGGAGTCAACCCAAACGTGCCTTATAGTTCATATATATAATTATTTCTCTCAGACATCGTTTAACTTTGTAATAACAAACAATTTTTTTTAATTATGAAATGCACATTTCAGCTCAGTTCAATTATTTTTTTTGTTGTTTTTACACGTTCAGTACGACGTCGACGGTCGGACACAAATTGAAAACAAGAAAAAAACAGAGCATTCCGCCGGGAACAATGTTACGTCTCCCGCCTTTAAAAAAATAAATATTCATAATGATTAACGATATATACTCATGATCACTGGAAATTTCCAACACACTCGTCAGTTTACATGCATCACACTTAGTTCAGTAGTGTACGCCAGTGAAAGTTTCACTTTGCAATGCGATTACAGGGATGCAGTTTCGACAGTTCCTGCCAGAGAGCCTATACAGGATGTATAAAAAAGGAGACCTTTCCTTTAGAAATTCACCTTCATAGTAATACGCGAACCCATGGGTGCGTATACAGGGTGTATCAAAAAACCTGCAAACACTATAATTTGCCGATAATTCTGCTGCTTACTAGCACTTCAATGTCTGTGCTACTTTAATATTTTGCTCCTGGGATTTGAAAATACATTCTAATTAACCGCGTTGATAGAAATTAGAATAACACGCAGTTATTTGTAATGCAGAAAACTAATTATCAGTTCGACTGCGACTTGTCAACTATTGTGTTTACGCACGCTTGGGATCAACTATAGTTCTGAATCATGCAAATTCTAAAAACATTGTTATTTCAAAGCATAGCCTATCGAAGGGAAGATGGCTGTGAAATCATTAGAATAACAATATAACTCATCTATGTTGGTCAACGTTTATTCATAAATCTGGTCCTTCACCGTCACGTGTGTATTGTATTCTTGCCCAACTAACCAATAGCAATGTTTCGAACAATAGGGAAACTGAAAATTGCTATTGGTGGATTTGGTAAAAATACAATACACACAATACACTGACTAACATAGATAATGAGTTATATTGTTATTCTAATGAGTTTCACAGCCATCTTCCCTTCGATAGGCTATGTTCAAAGGTTATTTTGCAGGTTTTTTGATACACCCTGTATAAAACACAATTGAATCGAATGTTATGCATGGAATATGTATCAATACAATTATCAAGATATTTTAATTCCCAGAACTCAGGAGCAGAAAATGTTGTGCTCAACAACGATTTTTTCATTTCTATAGACAAAAGTCTCCTTTTTAATGTACGTACAGGGTGTCCCAAAAAAACCCAAAGCGATTGAAATAACGTATTGTTAGAATTTGAATGCCTCAGCACTCTGCTGAACTCACAAGTGCATAAAAGCTTGATATAAGTAAATTTTATGCATGAAGAAACTGTTTAAGAAGCTGCTTTAAATTCCCAAGAGCAGAAAATCGTGCGCTTTACAAAGATATATATTTTTGAATTTCTTAATTTGTTAATATTTATAATACATGCACCCTGTCAATATTTTACGCATCTTAATTGCGTTCAGCTTATTGTGCTAGGGCATTCAAATTCTAACAATACGTTAGTTCAATAGGTTTGGCTTTTTTGGGACATCCTGTATAACACAAAATAACTCAAAGCTTTATACCTATATAAATAATTAGTTTCGAGCAATTGAATAGACCTTTCTTTTAATGACGTCAAACGCAGGAAAAGCACTTAATGTGATGTCCCAAGGGACAATGCAAATTATGTTTCTGTGAAATTTATTGGCTATGCATAAATTGGTTTTGCGCGTTTGACGTCATTATAAGAGAAGTCTATTTCGATCGGACTTATTATCGACTTCCTGCGGCTATGATCTTGTCACAACAAGACCATTTCTGTGAATTGATATATGAAAAAAAAATTTAATGCGCAAATCGCCATATATTACTACATAAAATATCTGTGTAAAATAACGAAAACGCTTCCGCTTTCAAAGAAATTCCTTTTCTTTTTATGTATTCTTATATTACATCATTTTCATACAGAGAATGCCAAACGCGACGTACATCGTCGACCATACCGAGCTGGTAAAATTTTCTTACGTTAGACGGGGGTATAAATATGAATTGAATTTATTCACAAAGAAATGAAATTCGGTTATATGCAGACCAGGGGAATGTGCAATGCTCCTGGCAATGTTTTATCTTTTGTTCCAAGACGCAATGAAGACAGTCTTGCCTCATGTGCGATGTTATACTGGTCATGCATGAGTTGGGACACATATGTCATTTATATGTCATTTATGCACAAACATGCAAGTTCCAAGATTACTGGTTAAAAATAACTTTGGTGGCGCATTTTTGTATAAAATATTTTTATTAAATTTGCATTTGCCCAAGAGCTCATCAAAGGGACTCACACATGGCGCATTTCAATGGCATTGCTTAGGTTAGAGAAGGTCAATGGCAGATTAGAGATTATATAAGGTGAGGGTTATGCATGTATTCATAAACTATCAAGATTTAACTCGAACTCGTTTTTTACGCTTACAGAATTACATACTTAAGCCTAGACTATTTTATCTTTTACAACAATTGTGATATTACTTTCTTAACTGTGTTTATCCTACTGACCCACCCTATCAACTTTCCTTGTGGGAGGAAACCGGAGCACGCGGAGAAAACCCACGACTATCGGCAGAGCGTTAGTTGACCGACTCATTTCACATAAGTGGGAAACGAGAGAAATAGAGAAATGAACCCACGATCTCATAACTGAATGACGGATGTTCAGTGACGTGTTATATTTAATAGAGACCTTACGATTTTAGGTAATAAAATAAATGGTATATAGTAAATATAAATTGATAATTCGTCGTACTGTATATCATCAATCGTATGAATTTAATACAGTCTTAGAAGTTGCCCCGGACATGGGTTTTATGGTTGGGAAGAGTTCTGCTGAACCCAGTTTGAAGTTGCACTTGTTGCCGGCTTGAAATGCAGCCGTTGTATCAAGACTGTGAAAATCTGTGATTTGGCGTTGTAAACAGAGCGAAGGACAATGTCTAAATTATTCATATATTGTAATTATTCAATTCTTTTCAATGATTTGTTGTTGTATTGGCAGCCGTTGCCGTCCCGTTTGCCGTCCCAAATGTAAGGTCTCTAATATAGTATTCTACTTTTCATCGACGAGCGTTGGAAATCATGTGGCCCTGCTTCTAACTCTTTCCGCACAGTCTCTCAAATTTGCTTCGAATAATTTAAGGACGCATGCAAAGGCCGATGGGAATGCTATCACGTAATGCATCCATTACTCAATGCGGGATTAGTGACTGGGGACGAGTAGGGCCCAGTGTGTGCTCCATGACCAAGTGAAGCCAAAGATGGCGGAAATTGCAGGAATTTACGTCCACTGCCAGTTTAAAAGGTTCTATTTTTTTTAATTGTCTGACAGGAGTGTGCCGAAATTTCGTATTTTGACTTCGGTTGAAAGACTAATATTATGATTTTATCACCTGAAAACTTAATTAGCGTTACGAGTATAAACTACAACAAGCGTTCCTCTTTTGAGTTCCCAACTTGCGATTGCAATTTTCCACATTACCTTAATTGCAAATTTGAAAACCTCCCTTGCAAATCTCTTGTGGGCATTTGGAATGCTCTTATCGGCTGTTGTGGTATTCCAATGCAGAGAAACTTCCTTTCAAATTTTCCTAACTTCCTAGAAGTTCTTAAGAACTTCTAAGTTCTTAAGAACTTCTAACAGGAATTGTGGAAAATCTAATTGGCTTCTAGGAACATTGCAAATTCCCTCAAGAGATTTGCAAGGGAGTTTTTCATATTTGCAAAGATAATGCGGAAAGTTGCAATCAAGTTAGGATTGAACTCGAAAGAGGAACGCTTGACGCAGTTTATACCTGTGACCTTCATAGCAATTGGACGTCAATTCGGTCATCCGTAGTAGTGGCTTCACTTTTCTCATATGGTCGAATGACTGAAGATCGGTCTTGTTCCAGGTAATGTAGGGCTCACTGGCCAGGCTCTGCTTATTGGCATGAAATCAACTGTGATTTTGGGAAGCATTTTAAGACTTAAAACATATGATACATAATACGAAATAGTGGACTAAAATGTTAAATGACTAAATGATGAATGCCATCTCAAATTGTGTTTTTAACCGCCAGGGCTCGAAGTAGAGAAGAAATATGGCCTGCCAGTCTAAAATGTTTTGGCAGGTGAAATAATTTTTTGCCTGCCATTTTTATTCATTGAACTGCCAAAATGGTGATGTCAGATGTCTCATATGAGTCATATTGTAAAAATCAATGTTTTCATGATATGCATTTTTATTGTTTTTAAACTTGTCTATATTATATTGTAAACTTGGATTTTCATTTCAAACATAAACGTATTTAGTCAACTGAATGATCTAGTATATGAGCTGTGGTAACCAAATGAAATGAAATGAAATGAAATGTATGTATAGAATTTCACCTGCTATTTTTTTTACTTTGGCAGTTCAAATTTGTTTTTGCATGCCATTTTTAAAATATGGCCTGCTTTTGGCCATTGGCAGCCCGCTATTTCCGAGCCCTGTTAACCGCTCTTTTTTATAACATGCAGGCAGGGCGCTGTAAAACGCAGCGTGTTTGTTTATACATATTTTACATGGTGATAAAATTAACTATATGCTAATCTTCATCTTAGAATTCTATCAAACACCAAGTGTGCACGCGCAAGAACCAGAGGTGGTGAGATTGCCCAAGTATTTCCGATGTACGTTGGGAGAGGGTCCGACACGATATCGTCGGGAGAGAACTGTGTTCACTCAAACTCAACTCAGAGCATTTGAAAAGAAATTCGAAAACCAAAAATACCTTACCACCCAAGAACGATACGAGCTCGCAAGGAATCTTGGGTTATCAGCGCTTCAAGTAAAGACTTGGTTTCAGAACAGACGAATGAAGTGGAAAAAGACAACTAAAAACTCGGAATCTGAAAAGTCAAGATCAGAGGTGAAGCCTGATCACCAACAACTTACGAATGAGGAGAAAGATAAACAATGCATGCAGCAACATGGGGACGATAGTCAATCCTTACTGCTAACAAACATTCCAGAGATCGAATATGATTGAGTTCTCGTTGCCGTGAAAAACAAGATCGGGCAAGGAGTTTGTAAAAAATAGTGAAGAACTTATACATACGTACGTAGTAACAATAGTAACCATTATATCGTTATTATGATAAGTAAGTTAAAGCAAGCTGTGCATGACTATAGCTAAAAGCAACTGAAGACTTTATAATTAAGAACATGTAGACCTATTGATATTGGAATGTTTAACATAGTTTAAATTTGACGGATCTAAGAATATTTATGATTGGTTTAATAGTCCTAATGTTTCCGGTAGTGGCGAAGCCAACCATGGCAACAGGTCATGCTATGCAAGTTTTTAATGATTTGCATTCTTCAAACTTTTAGAAATGTATTGTCTTTAACCTATTCAGATTCAGGAGGTTTATTAGCATAGCATGACCGGTTGCCATGGTTAGCTTCGCCACTGGTTTCCGGCTTAGTTATAAAATTGTAAATTCACGGGTGAAATCAACGTATTACAACTATCACAAATGGTGTTTTACAGCAGTTGTTACCGACTCATGTATTGTCAGGGGTGTATATTGCCGGGATGGGTCCAGCATGATCTGGTGGGGGGGGTGCTCTGCCAGCTCTGGTGGTTGGGTCGGTCATGTGCGCCGCCCACCCATCTTCCTTGACTACTGCAAAGTCTTGCTTGACTACAGTATTTGAGTTGTAATTGTTGTTCACAGTTCCGCTTATCATGATGTTATTACTCAAATTACTTCAGATCTCATTTTGTCTCTAATCTTTTTTTTGCTTTATGATGAAAAATAGAACCCCCCCCTGCACCCCCTCCGGCCAGGGATAGAGGGAGGTGCGCACCCTGGTATATTGTTACCATTCGCTCCCCCTTCTTATATTGCATATGTATGAGTGTATAGTTATATACATGGGTATATGTATATAAATTTCCACTCGGTAATTTCCATCTAGCTATAATACCCTTCAACGATTATTCAATCGAGTGAGACACCAACAAAATCTTGCTATTTGCCACTATAGATAATACAGCCTGTTTCATCCAAGAGGAATCATCTTGGACTCCACTAAAAGGTTGCCGCTACAGCCTGTTTCATCCACGAGGAATCATCTACTGGTGGAGAACCACCTGATGATATTCTTCTTGGATGAAACAGGCTGTACAGTGTGTATCAAAAATGGTAATCGAACTTCAGCCGGCTATTGTATCTGAATTACTCTGCGTATGAACGAGATTTTTCATAGTCGGAAAGATCAGGCGTTTAGCTTTTGAATGGTATGTTCTTCGTGCCAAATGGATAAAAAATTGGCAAATACAAATCCGGTAAAAAACGTTAGGGACCGGTCATAAAGTAACTTCTAGGGTGGGCTGGAGTGATTTGGGATGGGCCATGGAAAATCTTTGGGCAGTTTCGATGGGCCGCCAATTTTTTGGTATGTCCACGGTTGGGCCACCAAACAAAAACCCATGTTAATTATAAATCACATAAAGATATTAATAATAAAAGTAAACAAAACTATCCAAATTATCAAATGATGCTATTGAAGCCAGTACTTAGTTTTATACAACAACAAAAAGTGGTCGAATCACAGCAAATACAACCAACTGGAGAGCAGCTCAGTATCGTAATTGGTGATGAATGTGTTGGTCAAGCTTGGTGGAATTATGTATGTCAATACAGTGCCAGTGTATATTTACAATGTTAATTCATACCTGCAAGTTTTTTATTATAAAATTGTATTTTCCCAATTTAGATTGGGTCGGCGGGTCATGAAATAAATTTGGTAAGATTAGATGGGCTTTGAAATTTTTATCTACATCCTAAGATGGGTCACCAAACTTATTGGCAAAATTTGTGATTTACCTCCAGCCCACCCTAGCAGTTACTTTATGACCAGTCCCTTAGTCAGAAGCGCATATTTTCTGGAGGGTTGGGCCTAAACTCTAAAACCGTTGAAATTAACCCCCTTTAGGACCAACCTCGTACCCAGGGCTTTTGCGCTTATTGCCTGTTCATATGAGCCCGGTTAACCGAGCTGGCCCGCTTAACCGAGCTGGCCCGCTTTGCCGAGCTGGCCCGCTTTGCCGAGCTGGCCCGCTTTGCCGAGCTGGCCCGCTTTGCTTTCACATGAGGCGGGCTAGCCCGGCAATCGTATCTATTCATAGTAACGATTTCCCGCGATATTTTAGCGGGAAAATAAAATTCGTGTTTATTTGGCAAAATTTTATTTTTGTCGACGTCAACAGCTTCAGGAGGTTTAATTTCGATAAATTCCTATAGTTTTGGACATTTTAGACTGTTTGTCAGTGGAATAAAGCACGCAAATTTCCAGCACGGCTTGCATGCCGGGCTAGCCCGGTTGTGCATTCATATGAGCCCGGCAAACCGGGCTGGCCCGCTTCTCATATGAACCCAATCCTAAATTAATATACAAACAATATGTGAGGCGGGATCTCGGCACTTGACAACCAGTCCGGCTAGCCGGGCCAGCCCGGCAAAGCAGGGCTCATATGAACAGCCCCTTATTACTACCACGCACATATTCATAATTATTGTTAAGCCTAAGCTATATGACAAGTTCCGTGATTAATTCCTTTTTCTCTTGTTATGCGGCTGCATGCTTTAATTAGGCCGACAGAGGTGAAAATATGCAATTCTGACTAACATTTTTTATCGGACTCTTTTAATACTTGCTTATTTTTTCTCCACTTGTCATAAAAAACATGTCATTCAATAGTAAAAGCCTGATCTTTCCGAATACGAAAACGATTTGTTCATTAGTTCATACGCCGAGTAATTCATGGTACAATAACGCGCTGAAGTTCGATTACCTTTTTTTATACACACTGTAGTACAGTAAAAGCGGCACACTATCTGCTATTTAACAAATATAAAACATTTTCCGTGTTGATATACAGTTTTATTATATGGCTTTTCAAAGTTTTCTATTCTGATTGGTTGACAAGCGGTCCGTAAAAACCCATATCGGGACCGTGGTCCGTATTTTCCGTATCTGGACCGGTGTCCCGGATGTCATACATATGGCGTGAAATTTTTGCTTTGCAAACAGAAAAAAATTTTGCTTTTTAATTTTCCAATTGTGTGTCATTAAAATTTACAGATAAAAATTTCAAACAACCAAATTGTTTTTGATTGAGCATGCATGCCTACCGTATATTGTTACCCAGTGAAACTGACGATAGCCGATCAGAGGCGTAGGCAGGATTTTCGGTCAGAGGGGCCAGCAAAAACCCAGGTGGGGCCAAGCCGCCAGTGACTCAAGACGCAAAGTTCGCGCAAGAAAACATTTTGCGGACCACACAACATTTTAAATCTCGCCCCCCCCCCCCGTCGACAACTTTTTCGGTAAAAAAGTTTTTCTGGACAATAACATTACAATTGCTTTCGTAGCACTTTTCCCGATTTCCGTATCACTTTTTCCGATGCTTCACCACGAAGATTCCGACAACATTAGAGAGTTTGAGCAAGAGAACGAAGTCGGACAACGACGACGTGGACCGTGGTTGACAATTTTTGCCTGTCTTGCACATTATCTTACGCATTCTGAGTTTAGGGTCAGGCGTGAAGACAAATTAGAGATTTATGTCTAGCTGTTAATGAATGCTGACCCAAAGCCTTACCCTGATCAGGACAAAACAGCGAGACATGAATCCATATCCCGTCTTCGTTCTTCTGCCTTCGTTCACAACGAAAAATTCGCAAAAATTTTGGCAAAATTCGCTGTGAACTTCGTTCCGAACGAAGGCAGAAGGACAAAGACGGGATATAGTTTCATGTCTCGTATTCATAAACAGGGAGTGACGTCCAACTCAGTATGCGCAAGATAATGTGCAGACGGCAAAAATTGGCAAGTACGCCTTCGTCTTCGTACTTCGTTGTCTTGCTCAAACTCTCTATTGACAATTTTCCGACGGGTCTCAATTTTCCGACGGGTCTCCCACTCCCCCTCCCTTCCGGCAACGACGCCACTGCCGAGCCCGCATTAAAAATTCACTTGTAAAAAAAACAGATTGGTTTAAACTTTATCGAACCCTCATTTAATACATATTGAAATAATTAGGGTTAGAAAAGGTATGTGTTTCAAGCTGTGTGCCGCAAATAAGTGAACAAGTGATTTTAGGTTTCACACCGATGCCCATCAAAGCATATATTCTACAGAATTTTTGCATTATTGACAGCATGAAGCTATATAATCAAAGATTCCCTTTTTTATACAATACAATACATTTTATCAGGCCCCCCCCCCAAATTTTGCCAGGGGGCCCAAAATTTTACCAGGGGGCCCAAAATTTTGCCAGGGGGCCCAGCCTTGGCTACTCCTCTGTAGCCGATTTAATTCGCGCGTGAAAAGCATATGCTCACAGACTCAATTCAGCCATATAATAAACCGATGACCTCGCTTGTTCGGTCTGTACTGTGAAATATCAGACCTCTGTTTTTTGCATGGACCTCGCTTCTTCGTCGCTCGGTCCATACTAAAAAACCTCGGTCTGATATTTCACAGTACAGACCTCACGCTCGGTCAATAAGCCGTTAATATCGTGGAAAGGTTTTCACACAATTTCGAGTTTTCCCAATTTCCACGAGTGTTGATAAAACTGTATCAATACGGAAAAATGTTTTATATTTGTTTTTTCACACACTCATTAATAATTCATAAGCTTATTGGCAAATCATGTCAACCATAATATGTTACGTGCAGTGGCTTTAAAACTGATAAAACACTCCTAATTAGTATTCTTTATATAAAGAATACTAATAAGGCAATCTCGTTCTCAGAGTATGCCTGTTCGCGGGTTAGGTTATGCCACTACCTAACCCGCGAACAGGCATACTCTGGGAACGAGATTGCTAATAAGGCAGTATTTATTGTAGTCGTGTCTTCATTAGTATTCTTTATATAAAGAATACTAATAAGGCAGTATATCTATTGAATTTGTATAGTCGTGTTTGAAGCCGTTTAATAAACTCGCAGGTCGTGTTTTATTAGGTCTAAAGCCACTCGGGCTCCGCGCTCGTGCCTTTAAACCTAATAAAACACTCCTGCTCGTTTATTAAACAGTACATAATATAGCACAAAGAAACGTAAAGAAAGAAATTTTCCGACGTTTCCGTGTTGACATTGAGTTATATCAACACGGCTCTTAGCCAATCAGCGTTCAGAATTTACAAATGCTATACAGGGTGTCCCCAAAAAACCACGAAAACTATTGAAATAAATGTATTGTTAGAATTTGAATGCCTCAGCACTCTGCTGAACCCACAGTGCATCAAAGCTTGACGTAAGTAAATTTTATGCATAAAGAAACCGTTTAAGAAGCTGTTTTGAAAGATATTTTAATTTCTTAGTAAGTCAATATTTAATATATGCACCCTGTCAATATTTTATGCATCTTTGCGTTCAGCTTAGTGCTAGGGCACTCAAATTTTAACAATACGTTATTTCAATGGTTTTGCGGGTTTTTTTGGGACACCCTGTATTATAAATGGAGCCATTCCATCTTTAAATTCACCGAATGAAAATATTCTTACCATTGCACTGATAAACATTCATTATTTGTATATTGTTGCACCCCATTCAAGATGAATAATATTGTTCAATGTTGTTAACTGCAAAAAATAGTTCAGCATAACATTCTTGCAACCTGTTGTGCAGTGCAGTGCAGTGCAGTGCAGTGCAGTGCAGTGCAGTGCAGTGCAGTGCAGTGCAGTGCAGTGCAGTGCAGTGCAGTGCAGTGCAGTGCGGTGCAGTGCAGTGCAGTGCAGTGCGGTGCAGTGCAGTGCAGTGCAGTGCAGTGCAGTGCAGTGCAGTGCAGTGCAG